CTATGACACTATTTGGTCTATAGTGTTGATATTGATATTACATATGGATTAAGTTTAAACTATCAGTTTTGTTAATTTGGTGTCAAAATCTTCAATACCCTATTTTTGGCAAATATTTTTTAGTGCATATTTTTGTCATTTTTAGTAAAAAATGCTATTTTGGACTCCTGAAGGGAGTGCAGTTATTTGATTTCTGTGTGCAAGGCACACAATGGGAGACATTGCAGTTTAGTTCATCTGTGTAGGTATCTGTATTTATGGATATCTGTATATGTGAGTTTGTTCATCTGTGTAGGTATCTGTATTTATGGATATCTGTATATGTGAGTTTGTTCATCTGTGTAGGTATCTGTATTTATGGATATCTGTATATGTGAGTTTAGTTCATCTGTGTAGGTATCTGTATTTATGGATATCTGTATATGTGAGTTTGTTCATCTGTGTAGGTATCTGTATTTATGGATATCTGTATATGTGAGTTTGTTCATCTGTGTAGGTATATGTATTTATGGATATCTGTATATGTGAGTTTGTTCATCTGTGTAGGTATCTGTATTTATGGATATCTGTATATGTGAGTTTGTTCATCTGTGTAGGTATCTGTATTTATGGATATCTGTATATGTGAGTTTGTTCATCTGTGTAGGTATCTGTATTTATGGATATCTGTATATGTGAGTTTGTTCATCTGTGTAGGTATCTGTATTTATGGATATCTGTATATGTGAGTTTGTTCATCTGTGTAGGTATCTGTATTTATGGATATCTGTATAGGTGAGTTTGTTCATCTGTGTAGGTATCTGTATTTATGGATATCTGTATATGTGAGTTTGTTCATCTGTGTAGGTATCTGTATTTATGGATATCTGTATATGTGAGTTTGTTCATCTGTGTAGGTATCTGTATTTATGGATATCTGTATATGTGAGTTTGTTCCACAAATTATCAGATTTCAATGATGCTTTGCGATAATGCACAGACCTGATAAGGTTTCCATGGAAATCTGTGCATGTATAGTACCAGAGGTACATTACTTGGGGTTTGTAACTACGGTGACATGATACCAAGATCCTGATCAATCTCGCTCTCGCATAAGCGTTCCAACTCAAAGAAAAATGCGAATGCGCATGACGGATTACAAGAACTATTA